GCACCCTTCGTAGGACAGCACAGTGAGTGTGCATAGAATGTGTGCACCCTTCATAGGACAGCACAGTGAGTGTGCATAGAATGTGTGCACCCTTTGTAGGACAGCACAGTGAGTGTGCACCCTTCACAGGACAGCACAGTAAGTGTGCACCTTTTGTAGGACAGCACAGTGAGTGTGCACAGTAAGTATGCACGCTTCATAGGACAGCACAGTGAGTGTGCATAGTAAGTGTGCACCCTTCACAAGATAGCACAGTTAGTGTGCACCCTTCACGAAAAAAAAAAGCAGTCCTCATTTTAGAAAGTAAATTTTAACTTTCTATCTTGGACCAAAATAGTCTTACTAGCAAACTATGTTGAAGAAAATAAAACATATTTTTGGAAGGTTTATAGAAAGAAGGTTGGAAGGTTTATTTCCAAGAATTCTAGCTGTAGTTTAAAAGAAGTGAGAAATCAATGGTAACAGCCAAGAGAAATTCAAATTAAATATTTATTATATGAGTCATTTGCACCTGACACTTACTTAAAGACATTTCAATAGGTTTTCAAGTACCTTTTTGGAATCATAGGTTTTCAAATGTATGATGTCATAATCAGTAAATGCTTTCCAGGTATCCGAGAACAGGTCACCATACCCATAAGTGCTCTGAAGAAGGAAACAACAGGTTAGTGTCACCAGAGGATGCTTAAGAGGACACATACATATGACATCATTTGTATACATGATAACATGCTCACTGAACAAAGTCCATCGTAGTAAGTAGATTGTGTTTGGAAAGAAATTTCAAAGCAGAAAAATGGCTTGAAAGCTTAAAGACTAAATGGATATTCTCCGCATTAAATAATGAACAATGTGACAATACCCCATTCACATTAATAACGTCACTAGCAACATCACATTATACAACATACAGTACTAACAGTATCTGGGATGTTTCCCATGCCCCAGGCATTGTTCTAAGCACTATAGATTATTAATTCAGCAAACAATCTTGCAAACTCTAGGGTCCTCAGCCTTATTTTATACATGAGGAAATCGCATATAAATTCAAATAACTTTCTTAAATTATGGAGCTGGTGGGTTACAGGGATGTGGCCAAACCCAGTCTGTGGCCTCAGACTTCATGCTCAGACTCTATGACAGCTGCTTCTCCGTGGGAACCTGTCCTAATGTATTTACCAAGTGCATCTCTTTCCTGGAAGGCAGAAGCTAACTATGAGCTCTCCTGGGTAAAGGGAGGCGCTCGGACAGTTTGAAATGGTGTGACTTAGACTGAAGAACTCAGCCGAGAGATGGAAGGAACACAAGCCATGAGGCTGCATTCGAAGTCTGCCATTGCTTGTCCATTGTGCTAAGTTTCCTTATGCTTATAGAAGGCTTCTCTTTTTCTATGATTTAAAGTGTTCCTGCTTCTCCTATTGTACATGTTTCCACGGTATGGAGAATTGTTTCTCCAGCGACAGTCCAATACAGACCTTCAAGACCATCTCCAATCAAACTGTCCTGTTCTTGCTCAATATTAAATAAAGAACAATTAAAAGAAGTAAACTTATACAGTTTCTGGAGACAAAATACTTTGGATAAAATAAGGGACATCTGAAAGGATTTTTAATAATAAAATAGAATGATTCTGACTGCCCCTTCCCGGGGAACTTGTGGATTATTAGAGATAATCACATATAGAAACAAATTCAAATTATCTAGCACAGTGGAGGGTGGGGCGACTTCCCACTCATACTAAAGAATATTTGGATATTCGTCAACGGGACAAAAAGAAGAAAATTCTGCTATGCGGGTCTCAGATTTGAACACGTGCAGAACCTCAGCCACACAAAGGTGACTTGTAGGACTCTGCCCACAGGAGTGCTGAGGGTGAGTGGGTAAAAGAGGACACTGTCAGCCCTCTGGATCTGACGGTTCATTCACACCCATAGGAAACAGTCAGAAAAGCGACTGTGTCTTTGCTGAATATAAACAGACCTTTTCTCTTTGCCACTATAGTATAACGACTGTTTGCATATACCGGGCTATGTAAGCAAGCTAGAGGTAGTTCCAGAGCATCTAGCAGGATATGCATGGCCACACGCAATTCTAGACCACTTAAACACAGAGGACTTGGGCATCCAAGGATTTGGGTGTGCAGAGTGGGCCTTGTAATCCCTCACAGTTGCAGGGTGAATACTGTATATGGCAAAGATGTTTATAGCATCCGGTACATAGCTCAGAATCAGAAGCATGAAGTGTGGGGTGGAGAGAGATGAACACACGCAGGAAAACCATCTAATGAAAAAATGCTGCCCCCACTCAGAAAAGGACATGGAAAGATGCCCTTGTAATCTCAGAGCATATTTTATATAATGATACAAATAAATCTTTACACAAATGATATGCATAGAGATCTTTATACAAATCCTGATAAATTTTTGTTTAAGGATATATTTACATTTATTCAGATAAAAAGTCTTGAAGGGCCTTACACATATGCTAATGACTTCTACCCTAAGGGGACAAGGAAATTGGAGGAGGAAGAAAAGACTTTAAAAGAAAAGAAAACCTCATATGCATCCACATTGGTTGATGTCATGATAATGGGTTATTATTTCTATAATTAAATAATAACAGCAAAGATGTTCCAAATTCTCAACACCAGAAAAGAAGGGGCCTTCTATGGTTTAGGCGGCTGAAGGCTTTGCCTCGGGACCAACTGTGGCAGTATCAGTGTTCGTGAACTAAGGCAGTGGTTCTCAACCTTCCTAATGCTGTGACCCTTCAATATAATTCCTCATGTTGTAGTGACCCCAAACCATAAAATTACTTTCAGTGCTACTTCAAAACTGTAATCTTGTTGTTATTAATCATAATGTAAATGTCTTGTTTTTTTTCCGGTGGTCATAGGTGACCCCTGTGAAAGGGTCATTTGACCCTCAAAGGGGTCATGAATCACAGATTGAGAACCATTAACCTAAGGCTTTGCTAATCAAAACTCAACTGTGAACAATATAATCATATCATACTGACCCCAGACAACCTAGAGCGGATTCTGGAGCAACTGGGCAGAGCTACTCATATGAAGAACTTGGCTGAGAAGTTAGCAAAGACTTCTTTGACCAAGAGGAGAGTGTAGAATGTTTCTTTACATTGTACGAATATGTGTCACTGTGATTGGTTTAATAAAGAAGCTGACTGGCCAATAGCTGGACAGATTTAGGTGGGACTTGTGGACAAGAAGAGAGTGCAAAGAAGAAGGGGAAAAGGTCCCAGGAGTCTCAAGATGTGGAGGAAGCAGGAGATGAACTTCCTGTACTGAGAAAAGGTACTGAGCCACGTGGTATAGCACAGACAAGAAATATGTATTAATTTAAAACATAAGAATTAGCTAGCAACAAGCCTGAGCTATTGGCTGAGTATTTATAATTAATAATTAGTCTCTATATAGTTATTTGGGAATGGGCTGGTGGGACAAAAAAACAAGTCTGCCTACAGGGGAGGTTTATAAGGGAGAAGCTAGAGGACCAGCAAAGGACAGGGTAAGGCAGGGAAGCCAACCACACTGCTCATCTACATACATGTCACTTATCCATACAGAATGATAGTCGTACTGCCTGAAAATCATGTGTCTTGTTGGCAGGGATCTTCATGGTGACCCTATACCCTGTTCTTCCCCAGCAGACACACAACAGGCAGGACATTTAGATGTTAACTTGCTTTAACTCAGTTCTCTTCGGGAAGATGCACACAGGCATGCAAGATGGTATGAAAAAAGCTTTTAGAAGGAATGTGATAAGTTTCTTTTTACCTCACAAGTTCTTCAGAGGACCATATAGAAGGCGTCTGAGCCCAGCTAGAATCCTTGGCTCTACCCATCCCTAGGTTGCCTTCGAACACTCACCTATCTGTAAAAGACACTAATAAAAGTCCCAATCTAAATTCCCCACTGTGCGGATGTGATTTTTTTTTTCAGGGCCTTTAAAAAAAGTCTTGTAGAACTGCTGAGAGAGGTTTTACAGAAAAATATGTGTCCCGTTTAAGCAAAAAGAATGAAAGAGAAGGACACTGTCCCCTTTGCTTACAGAAACACTGCCGATAAATGAAACTGAAGTGGCAGTAAAACTGGCCTCCAGACGGAAATGGAAGTGCCTGCAGAACAGGAGATAAAGAAGGCCAGGGCCTGCCAGGAATGCAGAACCAGTTTTACAAGGACTTGGAGACAGCTACAGCAACTGCCTGTCAAGTAGGGTCAGCAAATGCTTTCTCCCTGTCTGCAAGACTGTTTATGAATTAGCTGGTGTGCTTTGGTCTCTGAAAACGTAGAAGGTACGTGACAGCTGTTTTCAGACAACGCTGCTTCCGATTTAGATACGTGTGTAAGATTCACTCTAGAGAGTGAGCTAAAAAAGAAAAAAGAAAAAAAAAAAACCCAGACCACTTAGCATGAAGCTGGCGGTGGCTGTGGCTGGAAAGCTGCTACTAAGCAAAAAGACAGGGACTGGGGTGTAGCTCCGTGGAGGAGTGCTTGCTTCTGCTGAGCATGCAGGAGGCTCTAGGTTCCGGCTCCAGAGCTGGGGGTGGAAGGGGCAGTCCAAAGGACAAAGGAAACAGAAGCGCTACCACCTTGACTCACAGAGGCTTCATGTCTCGGAGAAGCAATGGGGCAGACACTGGAATCTGCATTTGGGAACTCCATCTATGCCAAAGGCAAGGAAATTCTCCACTACTTCATTCTGAAATTCAAAGCACTTGGGATCACACATATCTATGGGATGGGATGAGTCCCAGTTGGTAGAGTGTTTGCTTAGCGTGCTTGAAGCCCCAAGTTCAATTCCTAGCACAATACTTGTACTCTGAACAATCTGAAAGTGGATGTAAGAGAAGCAAAGGGTCATCCTCAGCTACACAGTCAATTCAAGGTCAGTCTGGGCTATGTGAGACCCTGCCTTAAAAAAATCAAAATCCAGCAAAACAGTAACAGCAAAAAAGGACTCATTCATATGTGCCTGCCAGGGTGCATACATATATGCCAGGGGACCCGCAGAAACACATTTGAACACATCTATACATGTGCGAGTCTATGGATGGTTAGGCATATATTTAAACATGCATCTTAGAAAATTCTGTCTCACAAGGTCAGAGGCACACGGTGGAAGAACACGGCAGAGCCGGTGAAAGGGAGAGATCAGGTGCTTACTTACGGTGTCCCACATCACGATGTACACATCTGTACTGAAGGAATTGTTAACGTGCTGAGTGATGTAGAGATTGAGAAAATCACAGAAGTGGTGGTACATGTTAACACCTAGTGTTGGGAAAGAGGGAAAAATGTCAATAAAGTGAAGAACGCGAAACAGAACAATTTTTTTCCTATTCTCAAAGATTACATTTTCTTTATTTTTAGTTAAAATCAATGAATAAACATGCTTCTTCCAAATAGGGCTAGACACAGGTACTTGTCAACTTGAAAAAGCATCAAGTTCAAAATCCTACTTTTAAAATTGATTATTTTGAAATCAGGAATGCATTTTCTCCTACACATCAAATCATAAGAGAGCATTAAGTTCCGGGGTTGGGGGGACGACACACCAAATAGATCTATTCAAACGCAGCCAGGAAGACTAATCATTCCTTCCGATTATTCATTTTTTTAAAAATCAATCAAACATCACCTGTACACAGAAGCACGGGCAATAATCACAAACACTAAGACTGCAGTGGTTTTTAACTCTGGTCTGTTTTTCCCTATTTAATCCCTTCTTATATTATCCTTCTTAAAAGTTTTTTGTAAATGGGTGTATTGCCAGCAAGTATGTCTGTGCATCACAAGCATGCCTGGTACCTTTGGAGGCCAGAGGAGGGCACTGAATCTCCTGGAACTGAAATTACAGACCACTTTGAACTGTCATGTGGATGCTGGGAATCGAGCCCAGATCCTCTGGAAGAGCAGCTAGTGTCCTTTATGGCTGAGCTAACTCTCTAGCCCCTGCTTACACTGCTCTTGGGGAAATACTGACCAACTGTTACTTAAAAGAGGCGAGTGTCTCCTGTTCTAATTGCCACAGTGTGAACGCTGGAGTTTAAAGAACTATGCTGAAGTCTAACTTAGAGGCTCATGGGCAGCATCTCCAGACAAAGTCTCTAAGTCTGAGCTTTATTACTAGAGGTGGGGAATGTGAAATCAGACAGGACGGCATCTCCAAGTGCCTGGTGCACAGTGAGACTTCATGAAGACAGGCAGGAGCTTAGTAGGTCAGAGAACAACAGCAGCCAAAGCCATCACTATTTTTAATTCCCTTGCCAGCCATTAGAAAGACACAAAACAGGGGCCAGCAATTGCCTAATGACCTCAGTTCAATCCCTGGACCCCACATGGTAGAAGGAGAGAACCAGCTACAAGTTGTCCTCTGAACCTAACAAGTTTACTGGTTTGCTTGTGCACATGAGCACACTCACACTAAATAAATAAATGCAAGGACAAAAGAATGACCAGGCAGCGGTGGCACATGTCTGTAATCCCAGCACTCAGGAGGCAGGGGAGGCAGATCTCTGAGTCTGAGGCTAGTCTGGTCTATGGAACAAGTTCCAGGATAGCCAGGGCTACACAGAGAAACCCTGCCTCAATAAACAAACAACAAAGAAGGCGAGGAGGAGAAGCCAGAGAGAGAGGAGAGGGAGGGAGGAAGAAAGAGGAAGCACACTTTTGATTTAGGCATATAGGATCCTGGAAATTGTACAAATATAAATGGGATGTCTTTCTACAAAATAACAAATAAAGCACACAGTTTTCAAATGAAAATGTGAAGTGAAGCCGGCCTTCGAATGAAAATCAGCGACTCTCAAAGCCTGACTTCATTCCCACAGTGAATTATAACACAGAGTGCCAGGAAGAAAGAGGAGTAGACACTCCAGTCTGTGGAAACATTTCCTCAATGAACAATTGCAAGGGATACCTTCTTTCTAAATTACATTTATTTGTTCACGTGTGTGTGCACATACACCGAGTACGTGTGGAGTCAGAAGACAGCTTGCAGGAATCGTTTCTCTCCGTTCCCTGTGTGTGTCCCAGGAACCAACCTGAGGCTGTCATACCTGAAGGCTAGCACCTTTACCCATTCAGCCATCTTGCCATCCCTGGAAGGAATAATTTTCTGACTCAGAAAAAATCTTAGCAAAGAGCCTATTTTCAAATTAACAAGGAAAGCTTGCATTAGTGATTGTCCCCTTTCCCTGGGTGGGCACTACAGCCTACCGAAGCTGTCCCACAACATTTAGGGAGTCCCTAACTAGAGTGCAGTATGCACATGACAGTGTCTGGGAACAAGAGGATTTAAAATGAGGAAGTAAACACGGGCTTCAAGCTGGAGAAATAAGGCACATATTTCTGTTATAATGTTTCTTGTCCCAAAGTAAGACTTGGGAAGCAAAAGAAAACTGGATGATAGTGTAAGTTAGAAGGAAAGGCTGAGTAACAAATCCAGGAAAGAAATGGCACACATATATCTTGGCCCATTCACTCCCATTTTGCAGGCTTTATTGTGCATAATCTGCACACACATTTTAGTCCATATGATCTGCATAAATTTCATGCTTCACCAAACTCTCTTACAGGAAGATCACAGTGTCTCCTTTGCCACTTTTTCCTTTGCATATTTAAAAAAAAAAAACAAGTCAGAACCTTGAACAAAACATTTTAAATTCACTTTTATTTCAAAAAGCTAAACTTGTCCAGTTTCTGAATCTAATTTTGTAATATAAGAATAATGACTTCAGACAGCAGAGCACACTAAAACTATGACCAATAAATTATGGTAATTCTCAAGTATTCGTGACAGAGGGTTCTCTGTATTCCACTGTAGGCCGGGTCACTCATGAATTTTGATAGAGCATTGCACTGTAATCCCCATCTCTCATAATGAGAGGGACAATATAACATGTTCTGCGTCTCTCCTCTCTAGTCACTAAGTGCCGGAGATAAAGTTATGCTTGCAGACCAAGACGGGGCACTAAGGGCATGATGGCATCATTTCACATAATGTGATGGTTTCTTCTGGAATACCAAAGGCATAAGATAGCAGGAAGCTGAAACCAGTTCATCTGTGTTAGAAGAGGAAGAGCTACTGTTTTTTTATCACACTGCTTTCAACAAATTGAAGAAAGTGACTACTGTCATGCCAACAAACAGACGTGGGCCTGAAGAGACAGCTCAGTGACTGAGAGTACGGGCTGCTCTGCTGAGGGCCTGGGTTAGTTCTTAGCACTGACATGGTGATAGATTCACAACTCTCTGAAACTCTGGTTCCTGAGGATCCAACCCCTCTCCTGGCCTCCATGGGCACTGCATGAGTATGGAACACAGACAATCATTTCGGTAAAATACTCGTACATACAAAACAAAAACAAACAAACCTTTTTCTTAAAAAATAGATGCACCAATCAATACACAAGTAACACAAAGTAACTTCTCACCTGCATCTAATTTCATGAAATATGTTGGTTTCTCAACAACGATGTCACATTTAGCATCTTCTATAGGCCTGAAATTGAGCTGAGTATAGCCCTGTAGCTCAGCAAACCTGGAATTGTGAATCGTGACATAATTTGAAAGTGATTCTTCCAAACATCCCGTTGCAACACCATAACCTGGACCTGCCCATGAGGCAGATTTTATTTCCAGTATAAAACAGTCCTGTGGACTGCCTTCCCTAATTTCTGACATTATAGACTCAGATACCAACTTTAATGTTGAGACAGAAATAAAAATGCTTTCAAAATTCAGACTAACTCACAAGACAGTCCAATTGGAAAGGCCCCACAAAATGAAAAGGACTGATGTGTCAACAGAGATCCAACAAGGTGTTCTGGCATTGGAGGGCTTAAATGAAAAGATGTGTGGGCCATAGAAACTTGTACAGTAGACTTCTTGGGTTCTGAGAAAAATCATATTCTAAAATGATCTAGAGCCTCAGAAAGACAGAAGACAGGAAAGCTTCTGATGTGGGAGTCCCCTCTCTGTGTTGCTTGTATTGGTTAATGAATAAAGAAACTGCCTTGGCCTGATAGGGCAGAACTTAGGTAGGCAAAGAAGACAGAACTGAATTCTGGGGGAAGAATGCAGAGTCAGAGAGTCGCTATGGATCCGCCAGATACAGACACTGAGAATTTTACCTGGTAAGCCACTGCCACGTGGTGATATACAGATTAATAAAAATGAGTTAAATTAAAATGTAAGAATTAGCCAAGAAGAAGTTAGAGCCAATGGGCCAAGCAGTGATTCAGTGAATACAATTTTTGTGTAGTTACTTCGGGGCTAAGCTAGCCGGGCAACCAGAACAAATAAGTGGGCCCTCCTCCTGCAACAAGCTTCTCTGAAGATTAGGAAACATGTGTGGAAGCCACGGGTAGGATTTTCATCCCAGCAAATGACAAACGCCAGCACGTGAAGCAGACTGTCTTGGGCTAACTGAAGGTCACCAGCAGCTCATGTGAATTATATCAAACAGTCATCAAAAACAACGTGAAAACATGGTGGTTTAAAAACTGCTCACAAGTCTTTATCTCTCGCCCTTCCTTCCTTTGAGCTCTCTCCCTGCATTGTGTAGAGGCCAGAGGGTAATGCCAGGATGTCTTCCTCAGTCACTTTTCTACCAGAGTCTCCCTCCGAACCTGGACCTTGCAAGCTCAGCAGACTGACTAGACAGTGAGCCATTAAGGTCACAGATGGGCACCACTGTGCCTGGATGGTCTTATGTGGATGCTGAGAATTAGAACTCAGGTTCTCATGCTTCAGCAGCAAGCACTTAACCCATTAAGCTGTCTCCCCAGCCACATGAGTTCCTTAGTACTGCTCCCTTCAAAAGGTGGAAGACAGATAAATATGGTATAGAGTACCTATAACCTCAGTACTCAGGAAGTTGAGGCAGGAAGATCACAAATTCCAGGTCATACTGAGTTATTTAAAAACAAAACAAAACAAAAAAACCTATTTTTTTTTTAAGAAGAAAAAAAGAAAGCCTGGAGAGATGGCTCAGCAGTTAAGAGTGCTGGCTACTCTTCCAGAGGACCTGGGTTCAAATTCAAGCACCCACATGGCAGTTCACAACTGTCTATAACTCCACTTCCAGGGGATCTGACACCTTCACATCAATATACATAAAATAGATAAGTTAAATAAACTATTTTTTAAAAAAAGAAGAAAAGAAATTTAAATTAATGCCTCCCCAGCCCCTAAATATGGTCATAGCTCAATGGCTTACTTCTAACCAACAGAACACAATAGTGTGTCCCTGCTGAAGTTAGGTTACACAACACTGCAGCTTCCATCTTTAGGTATATATACTCATGCTCTGGAGGAAGCTGGCTGCCATGCTGTGTGTGAGTAGCACTAGTAAGAGACCCACAGAGTGAAAACTGAATCCTCCAGTCCATAGCTAGACAGACACCCAGGCTCTGAGAACAGCCTGGGTGAGCCTAGAAGTTAAGTTTTCAGGCCTAGCAGGGCCTAGATGGCAACAGGCCCACCCAACAGCTTGACTGCTGCCTCATGAGGCCCTGCTGAGCTGCCCCCACTCTGACATCAGAACGGGGTGAAATACTAAATGCTTTATTTCAGGGTAAATTTATAGTAGAAATAAATAATAAATATAATTATGCTCTAGAGTCTATTTTAGATTAATGTGGTACTTGGCAATAAATAATACAATTATACCCCGAGGAACGATAATATAGAATCAGATATCAAAATAAACTAGGAATGAAAATGCCTTGCAGAATGAAAGAAGCATCTATTTGTAACAATATGCTCATTACCTAGAAAAATTTTACAACAAACTGACAGCTACCATATAAAGATAGATTAGATTATTATTCCTAATATTTTGCTCACCTGAGAAACTAACTTTATATAAGAGCAGCCCATATGATCATAAGGGAAGTGCATGAGCTTTTGTGGATGAGAGAGAGTTCTGCATTCTAACGAGGGTGGTGGTCACATGTTCCTAGACATGGGATATAAATTTCCTAAAGTGCACATTTGAAAACAATAAGTGCACATGGCAGCACGGGAGAAGCCCACATACGTGTGGTTAATAAGACTGTATCAATGACAATTTCCTGCCTTGGTAACTGTGCTGAGCTTACATGAGACATTATCACTCCAGGAAGCCAGAGCAAAAGTACAATGGGAATTCCTACACGATGTTTACACTCCCATGAGCCCAAAGTAGTTAATAAATAAAACGTTTTAAAGCTCAAAATCTCATCACTGATGGTAAAAGCTGGCTTCAGAAAGAGGAAGGTAGGAGTGTCCAGTGCCTAAAATGCTCTGCTTTTTAAGCTGAAATAAAGTTACATGGGTGGGTTCACTTTTTCATTAACCAAACTCTACACGTGGGGGAGGGGCAGCATGTTTCATAAAGTGTGCTTCCCAAAACACATGCAGAAATTGGGAGTTAATAATGTTTCATGTCAATTAATTTTTCTTTCATTTACAAACAGCAAACTTTATAGCTGCTTTTTAAATTTTTATGAACTAATATCTTCTTATATATACTGAGGGATTGATTCCTCTGCCCCCGTCATTCCTCAGAAGCTCATGCCTGTACAAATTAGGTAACCTTTTCCCTTTCAGAGCGCCTTCCAAAATCTAAAAATGCCAAACAAACATAATACTTTAGAGACATATTTTTAGAGAACAAAATCATGTTACCAAGACTGCAGAGGGCTTTTGCGCTGACCTTCAGACAGCAATGCATGCCTGTCCAGTTTACAGTGTCCACCAACTTCACCACCCTGGAGAAAATCTTCCTTGAATCTAGTGAGCGTTTAAAAAAAAAAAAAACAAGCTGGAAAAATTTCTCATTACTCAAGTTGCTGGGTTGGAACTAATTTCCTAACAACCTTTTCAACAGATAAAAGATTTATTTATTTTTATTTGATATATGGATGTTTTGCCTGCATGTACATCTGGTGCCCATGGAGGCCAGAAGAGAGAGCATCATATGCCCCAGAACTAGAACTAGAGTTAGATGTGAGCCACCACATGGGTACCAAACAATCCCAGATCCTCTGCTAGAACAGCCAATGCTTTTAACAGTTCAGCCATCTCTCCAGGCTCTGGATTTATTTTATTTTATTTTGAAACTGCGTCTCATTGTAACCCATGGTGACTCATTATGTAGCCAAAGAGGATCATGAACTTCTTGATCCTCCTGCCTCCATCTTCTGAAGGCCAGGATGGCAAGCATGTGTTACCATGTCTGGCATATATACCAGAGCCCCCTTTAGAATGTAACTTACAAGCATGTGCTGTATAAATGACCTTATTTATACACTACAAGGAACTCAGTATACCCATGACCCAAGTCAGCAGTGTGATCATCAGGAAAAGGGCCTGGGTCACCCATTCCTCACCTATTCCCTAACCCCTCAACCATTTTACTACAAAACAAATCCAAGACATAGCCCTGCATCTGGGAGTATTTCATAATGCCCTCAGCTTTGATTGCAGCCACACTACCTAAGTACCTGTCATGGGTCCTCTTGATGTTTCTTAAGTCCAGGTACAGACCAGTAGCTCTGCAATACTGAAGGTGCCGGGAACAAGCCAGACTTGAGTCATCCTGGAATACAATTGAGATGAGAACAGTCAGCTGGGAACAGGATCAGCACTGTGAGACTTCACTGGGCTGCCCATGCTGACGTGTTGTGTGTGACCCCACTGCAGAGGGAATTCTCCACTGTTTCTATGCTGTTTTCTCCTTTCCTCCAGTCTAGTCAAGGGTACTTCTGCTTTGGGATAATGTTCTTTTATACTGTAAAGATTTGTTATTTATAGTGACTCAATAAAATGCCGATAGTCAGGCAGGAAGTATAGGTGACCAGATTAGGAGAATTCTGGGAAGAGGAAAGGCAGAGGTGAGTCACCAGCCAGATCCAGAGGAAGCAAGATGAGAATGCCTTACTGAGAAAAGGTACCAAGTAACATGGATAAACATCGATAAAGATTTAAGTTATAAAAGTTAGCTTGTAATAAGCCTAAGCAATAGGCCAAACAGCGCATAATTAATATAAGCCTCAGTGTGCTTATTTGGGACTGAATGATTGCAGGACCTGGTGGGACAGAAACTTCTGTCTACATACTTCTGTATCTCTCTATACATTTTTCTTTCTATGATGATTTCCCAAATGCTCTAGCATATGTACACACATGCACACTTGTGTATATATAATCTGTAACATGAGGGCCAGCTTGTTGGGGTTTCTGTCCCGCCCGGTACCCCAACAAGCCAGCAAGCCCCAAGGAAAATCAACCACACAGAGATCTCTGTAAGTTATAAAGCTGATTGGCGCATTAGGTCAGGCTACTTATTAGTTCTTATGACTCATCTTAACCCATTATTCTGATCTATGTTAGCCATACAGCTCCGTACCTTTCTCAGCTGGACAAGTTACATGCTGCCTCTTCGGTGGTCTGCACAGGAATGGCTGAGGAACCTCTCTGCTTCCCAGAATTCTCCTGTTCTCATTGCATCACCTCTACTTCCTGTCTGGTTTTCCCACCTATACTACCTGCCTGGCCAATCAGCGTTTTATTAAAATACATGATTGACAGAATACAGACAATTCTCCCGCATCAATAATCTATGTATATACTTATGTATGTATGTATATATATATTAAAAACAGGGTTTCACTATATAGCTCAGGCTAGGCTTAGACTCAGGATCTTCCTCCTGCCTGTGTTCCCTGTTGTGGGAACTCCTTCAGCCAATACCCTTTAAGATACCAGCCCACTTTGGGCATGGTCTCATGTACTATAAATGCAGATGAAAAGTGTGCATGGGCCTCTTAGCTGCTCAAATTCAGTTCCAGTTCCCAATACACATGCTATCCTTTCTGTGAGTTTGTCCCCAGATAAATAAACCTTTGTTATACTCCATTTCAGGCTATTGTGGAACTTTTTTGTATACCTACAAAATGACTCTCAAACATTCAGCAATGTACATCCACATAAAACTTAAGAAAGTTTAAAAAGAGTACTTCTAGAGCCACAAACACAGGAGCCAAGTGCAGCTTCTTGGTAGCTGTATTATTTTCAGAAAGACTCTGCTGGCCACAAGCAGAGGCACGGCTCCTTTAAAAATAGCTTCCTGGTTCAGACTGGCATGAGCAGCTCTGGCTCTTTTGGGAGGTCTTGCTATGGAGCACTTAAATGGGGTTTATGAACAAAGTGCTACAACTTACTTAAAGGCAACATAGACCCGCTGCATTCTTGGAGCTGGGGTGATAAGCATGGCTCATAGAGCCGGCAGTGAACATATCTCTGCCATGTTGGATGGGGCAGAGAACAGGCAGGGCTGTGAAGTTGGTCCTGGCCACACCCATTTAGCATTAAAAAAAAAAAAGGTGCTCCTAGTCAGAAAATGATTACAGAAATGCAATAAAGAGAGATTCAGATAAAAAAAAATGGGACACAGTTTTGGATAAATGTACATGGACTTAATAATAGAGAAGAAAGAGTACAGAAAGTCATAGATTAAAGGAGCAAAGATAATTAAATATTAAAAAGTAATATAGCAAAAAATAAGCCACATAAAGATGGAAAATACACAGAGTCTGGACTATGTACATTATTGTGTTCTTTGATTTTTTTGACTACAGAGAGACATTTGATTCTGAGGGCTGCTAAGCTAAACCAACATATATATTTTAAAGGTATCTTGACTTCAAAATTTGAACCTAAAGATATGTTACATTGGAAAAGAGATTCTGCTTCTGTTTCCACAGAAAATGAGATCATGGCTATTCCTTCCAGGTTAATATGGTTCGATGGAACAAGATCTCCAAAAAGGTCTCCATGACTCCTAAAAATATTTCATCCAACAAACAGCAGGAAGCAGTTTGGAGAAAACAGCACCCAAATCCTCAAAATGATTGTTTATAAATGTTTGTTTTCATTTAAAGGGGGTGTGATCTAGAAATGAATACTTTACATTGGTATGGATCTTGGTGTGTGGATAAATTTAAGGTTGATTTTGTTACACTGCGTATATGTATTTCTGTTCTTGTTTAAGATATTATATTTCTGCAGCTCATTTTAAAATGTAATGTATAATTATAGATTAATAGATAGTCATTTATAATAATCAAACTTATAAAGATATCTTGACTTCAAAATTTGAATCTAAGGATATATTACTTTGGACAAAAGATTCTAATTTTGTTTTCACAGAAGATGAGAACCTGTGGATTCCTTCCAGGCGAATGTGGTTATATGTTAGTTAGGTTTTCTAGATGTACAAAGATAGAATTCAGATGGATAAGTAATCTTCAAATCTTTCAAATACCTACAGAATATGGCATTTAAAATGTTTTAGACTTTTCTAAACAGTGAGACATGTCTGCTTCTGGTAGCACCAATTACTTCAAAAGGATAATGGGCATCGAAGAGGCTCCTTATAGAGTTTGGTAGCCTTCTAGAAACTGCTCTTGTCTTGCTTAATGGTATGCTGTTTGAACTGGACATGCAAGAGTCACAGAAAAGTGACTGCCAAACATTCCAAAAGACAGGATGGTCCTTCAGGGTTCCTGCTTCACAGATGAAACTGCCAGGCATTCTATAGGATACAGAAGAAAGTGACTGACAAACTTCTAAGATAGGCAAAACAGCCTTTCAAATTTTCTGCTTCATAGAAAAGTCTGCCAGATAAATACTATGGGCCTGTAGACTGAAGATGGATGCCGCAATGTTACAGAGGAACTTTGGATGACCATCCAGGCAGCAAGGTGTCTCTGTCAATTCTAAAGTTTTGAAAGTTGCTTATAATGCACTTCCTACTTACTTAGGTAATATTATATCCTTCTGGGGTCTATGAAGAGCTGAAGACAGATTGTTATAGTTTTCCTTAGTTATTATAAAAGATAATGACACTTTAGACTCACAAAGATAAAATAGATGATAGTATATTTTCTGTAATTTTGCCAGATATTAGCTGGGTGGTAGTGGTACACGCCTTTAATCCCAGCACTTAGGAGGCAGAGGCAGGCGGACCTTTGTGAGTTCGAGGCCAGCCTGGTCTACAAAAGCTAGTTCCAGGACAGACTCCAAAGCAAGACAGAGAAACACTGTCTCAAAAACCATAATAATAACAACAACAACAATAATAATATTGCCAGAGACAAATATATTAAATATTGTACCTGTAATTCTTGCTTGAACCTGTTATGTTATATGTACTTTTACTATGTTAAAGTTAAAACTTTTCTTTCTATTTAGACAGAAAGGGGGAGATGATGTGGTCTAAATATTGTTTTACCATTGGTTAATAATGAAGCTGCTTTGGCCTGTAGCAGGGCAGAATATAGCCAAGCTGGAAGAGATATACAGAATAAGTTGGTAGAGTCAGAGACTTTGCCGAAGGAAACAGATGTCGGACCCTTATCAGTAAGTCATAGCCTCCTGCTGATATACAGATTAATAGAAATGGGTTAACTTGTGATTTAAGAGTTAGTTAATAAGAAACTTGAATAGGCCAAGCAGTGTTGTAATTAATATAGTTTCTGTGTGATTATTTGGGTCTGGGTGGACAGGAAACGAACATGTTGTCTCTGATTATAGCCCCCAAGCCCTGGGAACATAGACAAATGTCACCACACACTGCTTCATTCAAACAAAATTATTTTAAATTACATTTGTTTATTTTATGCATGTGTTCACGTGCCTCTCTATACAGGGGCAGGTGAGAAAATAATTTGCAAGCGTCTTCTACCACTCAGATGCCAGGCACTGAACTCAGGATGTCAGGCTTGGAGGCAGGTACCTTTACCCACTGAGCCACCTCATCGGTCCTCAAATTTTAAAGCCAAGAAATATATATAATATATTCACTCCAGTCCCCACCCACTAAAGAACAATCCCTCAGAATGATTTCTACCCATTAAGTACTGAAAAAAGCCTTTTCTAAGGAGGAGCCAAAGGAAACAAGGAAGCTGTATATGAAAGAGACATTCAAATGCAAGTCTGGGCAGGCACGCTGCCAATCTGAATGTGAGGCACTTCCGCAAACAGTCCCATACATGTTGGGGACTCTGTGTCAACAGCAAGGAAAGGGAGGGTGCCATTTAACTGTTTTCCCTAAAACTTCCAGTGAAAGGGGAGCCTGAAGCTCACCCTGTTTAGTGTTTGTGAATCCAGTCTGTAAAAGATCACAACGAACTGAATGCTTGCATCCCTGAAAAATTCATGGTGAAACCCTAACTCTTGCATGGAGAGGTGGCTTGAGGGGTAAAGGTGCTTACAGCCAAAGCCTGACGACCTGAGCTGTTCCCTAGATGAAGGAAGAGAAAGTCACCATGGCGGAAGTAGAGAACCAACTCCTACACGATGTCTCCCGACCTCCACATGCCATAAACACACACGGTAAATAAATAAATGTGAAGATAAATCAATCATCAGTCAACCCCAGTTATCAATGTGATGGTAGTAGGTGGTGGAGATTTCTGAGGTTATGCACGGGAGTCATGACAGATATTCATGCCTGCTCTGGTCTGAATATGAAATGACCCCCACAGACTCAGTGCTTGAACCTCTCGTTGCTGTCTGGGAAAATTGTGGCACCTATAGGAGATGAAGATTTGCCGGATGAATGGGTCACTGGGACACACCTGGAGATTTGATAGTCCTGTCCACACCCCCTCCCTGCTTCCTGAAAGCTGACGCAATGCCATGGATGCCTCTTGCTCCTGCACCCAAACCTTCCCAGCTATAATGAACCGAACTCCCTCACACAGCGAGCCAGAATCAGCTGCCTTGCTGCTTGTCAATTATTTTGGTTACAGTAACAGGAAGAGTCACTACAAGATCCTTCAAAAGGAGACCACAGAGAGTGCCCTTCCTCTTTCCACCCCATAGTGACCCAAAGACAGGCAGCTGTCTGCAGTCTGGAGGAAGGCTGGCACCTAGATTGTGGGCCTCCAGTCTCCACTCTTCCAGTCTTTGGTACTGTGTCGGAGCATCCCAAAGAATGAACTCAAGCGGTCACCTGCTGATTGCATAGTACACACCAAGGCAGACGCAAGTTCAGGAAAGCTCTGCACAAGCCACCATGAGACAACTACGCAAGGAGAACTCAGACCTCCTCCCCTGGCCTTCCCATGGAAGCAGCTAGACCGGAGCCAAATGTGTGCCTGTGGCTACGACTCCCAACTGTTGCCTTCATTCCCTTTGGTACAGCTGACAAAAGCTCTGAAAATGACACCCTCCAATAATACCACAGCACATGTATTCAGCTTGTGTGTGGCACGTGCATGTGTGTAGGCCATGTCCCCTTGCACATACTTGCTGAGGGGCCAGAGCGGACACAGCATGTCCTGCACTATTATTACTCTCTGCTCTATACCCTTGAGACAGGTCTTTCACTAAACCTGGAGTGAAGCTGGCATCCAACAAGCTCCCAGCAATCCTCCTGTCTCTGCACCCCACAATGCTAGGGTTATAGACATCTGCATGGCCATATCCAGGTTACTTTGGGTGGATGCTGGGGATCTCAACTCAGGTACTCAGCCAGAACCTGTGCTGAGACTTCTTATATGCAAAAGTTCACTTTATCCCTACTGCATGCTACAAGGTTAGCGTGGCTTTAAGGCTAAGGAACAGGTTTCTATTTCAGGTTGGGGACCTTGCCCAAGAGTCAGGATCTGAACTCTGTAGTCAAAGACCTACTTTCATATCTACTACTTAAAACCACTTCCTGGCTGTGCTGGAGTGTGACATGATGAGAAACACACACACAAGCATGCACATGTATGTGCATGTACACACATGTACACACACACACACACACGTGTAGATGTACCTTTCAATTCTAAGTATATTATTATATAATTCTACAAGACAGCTGTGAAGCCTTGGAGACGCTGCCTACTTCCTCTGAGGGCCCTGTTTGTCCTTCTAGAAAAGTGACATCAGTCTATCTGCCCTGCTGTAAGAACTATGCCAATCAAACTGAAATACACACAAGACTAAACAAATACAGATCAGTAATGGTCTAGCCATGGTACCTGTCCCAAACAACTGACAATCTGTAAAGATAAGATCTGTTAGTTTTTCTTCTTTGGCTCATGTTGGGGAGAGGTCTAAATCTAAAACTATTTTAATTGCCTCAAAACATAACTCTCTGATACAGATGTGAAGAGGGTGGGCCTTTTAGAGAAACAAAGTGACCTATCTGGGAACAGTGAGCACAACTCTGAGCTGGGTGTGGCGGTGCTGCCACCATCCGGCCAGCAATGAAGACATTCATTCTCTTCTTGTGCAGCACAGATTATTGAAACAATAGTCCCCCAGGAATTGGAATTTCCTCAGGAATTTCATGTCCGGAGAAGGAAAAGGTTGTAGCCTGGTGCCAATCCGGGAGAGGGAGAAGGGGTTGAGGGAAAAGAGGAATGGGGAGAAGGGGGGATGGGTGCGTGCAGCGAGGGCAGTAACTTTCTCCTAGAGAGAGATTCCCCTAGTTTTAACCCTGCAGGAAAGATCGAGGCCAACACAACAGTGGGGCAGTGACCAGCAGGACCAGGACCACACTCTTACTGCGTCTGCTCCGTGGCACGTGCCTGCTGCCCTCCACTGAGACTTCAAGTTCATGCTGTACCCTGAGGATGGGCTGTTCTAGGTATTGTTTTAAGGTGTGTTCCTTTTGCTGTATTTGTCTGACTCTGTGAAGCTGTGATTCTTTGCCTGTCTAAAACACCTGATAGTCTAAGAAAGGGCTGAACAGCCAATAATGAGGCAGGAGAGAAAAAACAGAAGGGAGAGAGTGTAAAATACAAGGAGAAATATGGAGAAGAGAAAGAAAAGAGGAAGAGTCAGGGTCAGCTACACAGTCAACCATGCAGTAAGAGCGAAAATAAGATAGAGAGAAGTAAGAAGGAAAAAAAAAACAGAGAAAAACGGGTAGTCAAGATAATTTAAGATGAGAAAAACTGGCTAGAAATGAGCCAAGCTAAGGCCGGGCATTTATAATTAAGAATAAGCCTCCGTGTATGTGATTGATTTGGGAGCTGGGTGTTGCCCCCTCCCCCGCAAAAGCCAAAAGAGGAAAAAGAATAAAAGCAAAGAGTAAAGGAAAACCAGCAACTACACAGGACGTTATAGAGAAAGCCACTAAACCACTTTACTGCCCTTCCTTTCCCAGTGTGACCGCACGAAATAAATCTCCTTTCTCTGCCTTTCCCTAGTCCTTGCCTGCTTTCCTTCTCTAGACGGTGAGTGGAATGGGTCTAGCTTGTTCAGGCTGCTCCGGGCCCAGGCTCTGACTGTAACAACTCCACCTCTAGTTTCTGACTATGAGTCCGGTACCAAGGATGGACCAGAAAGACCGTGGGTCTGGGGCTAGCCTAGGCTACACAGAGAAGCTATATTAGTGGGCCATCTTGTTTTAACATCACAAGCAAAACAATAAAACAAATAATAATAATAAACAGTTAAACAAAGCAAGCTTATTCAAGCAGCTGGACACTCACTGTTCTCTCGGGCTGACAGAGCATGCGTATCTCCTCCAGTCGCTCTCGAGCATAGCCAAAGTCAGCTTGCTTCCAGAACATGTCCTCAGCCGACTCCAGAGTATCTGTCCTATTAGTGAAGAAAGACGTTTCAGAACATATTTTGCATGTATGTGCTCCCATGTGCATGCCTGATGCCTACAGAGATAAGAAGAGGGCATCAGATCCCCTGAAATTGGAGCTATAGATGGCTGTGAGCACCATGTGGGAGCTGGGAACTGAGCCCGGGACCTCTACAAAGGGCAGCAAGTGCTCTTAACTGTTACATCATCTTTCCACCCCCATTCCATCTACTTTCTTTTTTCTGGTCTTGAATTTTCTTTCTATCGATTGAATTGTTAGAAGTCTATTTGTACCTTATCTTTTAAAGTAAACCATCACATTTCCCCCTGTTCTCCCTCAAATTATCACTATGTACATAAAGATACCAAACAAATTATTCACAGACTATTCCTTTATAATAAAAAGGCACAACAGAAATCTATGAAGTTGGGGTCATCTGGAACTAAAGAAAATAGTGTTATTTACCATGTTACCTTTGCCCAACTCATTACCCATGTGCTTAGGATTACTAATTATATTTGACTTCCCCTTGGGCATAGATAGCTATTCTTTCAGAATCTGTAAGATGCTTCCCGTTCTTCTTTTTAGCATATACGGGGGGGAGGTTCTATTGTCAATGTAGTTTCTCCCTCTGACAGAAGAAATAACAGTTATTCCTCTCATTGTGAGATGGATTGAATTCATGACCTGGGTAAATAAATTAACATCTTCAGGAATTACTATGTGCCAGAGAGTCTAGCTGGGACTCAGGGGGTCAACATGCACTTCAAAGAACACAGACTCAGACAGGAGGAGGGGAGTCCATAGGGAGACTTACCATCCCATGTCAACGTAGCTGCAAACAGGGTAACCAAATCTAAACTCTGGTTTGCAGGATTTTTCATAACCCCAGCAGTAGTTTAGATTTCCTAGATGTTTCTAGAACATAAAATGTGTACCTTTAGAATTATCTCCCAGCCTCTGATGGTGAGAAGTGACTTTTGGCCGTTCTTGACAGAATGTTTCCCACTTACATTCATATATATATATATATATATATATATGCTCATTATATAATATATATATATTCATGCAACATTCTGAGATGGGCAGGCTCAAGAATCCCCACAATTGTCCTTACTCTCTCCTCCATATCTGCTCTATAACCAAAGCCCAGGCTCTAGTTAGACTACCAAAGACAACCTGAATTAGAATTTCCTGAGTTATCTTAAGAAACTGTCTTCTTTCTTTTTCTGAAACAAACTGATTCTATATTCAGTCACTGGGGGGGGGGAGCAAAAACAAAAACCCCATATCCTTTGGCATTTCTGTTGCTAAAGGAGTCCGTGAGAAGGATGGCTCAGCGACTTCACTCATCCATCAAGAGCAGCAGAAACAGTACAAGGTCAGGGCTCTCCAGCCCTGGAGACCAGTGCTCCTCTGCAAGGCCCAAGAGCCAGACTGGTCGGATTCCATGTGCTTCCTGTGCCAGCACCATGGGAAAGGAAGTGTCTTACAATACTCCGCTTTGATCTCTAAAACCTCCGGAGACATCTCAATGGGTTCTGAGCCCTTTCCAAGCTCACAGGATCTCACTTATTTGGAGCCAAGGTTGAGGTGTGACTTCTAAAGTGAAGGGCTAAGAAGTCGCCTAAGTGCAGAGAGGGGAGGTGTGACATTCTTTACTCTGGCAAAATGTTCTTTTCTTCCTGAAATCTCAAGCACTTCATTTTTCTGAATATGAAGATGGCTTTAGTTGCCTGTTAATTTTTACTGTTGTATTGATGCTGAATTTCTTTCTTGCGAGTGGGATATAGTTTTAACATAATTCGCGTACCTTAGGAATATTACATGAAATGAAAACAATGATTGGCTCATGGCAAAAACTAGAAGCCCAGCTTTTGCTGTGAGTTATGAAACAGAATAACGAGCCAGCCAAAATTGCATCACTGTATGAATGACAGCAAGGTAGGAATGTGAGAAAACATATGTATGAAAATGCCATCATGAAACACATTGCTTTGTATGCTAAACTCAAAAATTAACCTAAAAATATAAAAGAGTAAATGAAAAAAAAAGCTAAAAATAGTATGCTGATCATGAGAAAATGAATGAGGAGAAATAAGACCTACCTTATATGGACAATGGGAATCCTCCTTGCAGACAGAGGCAATATGCCTGTTATTGTGCAAGAAGAAGGGAATGTGCTTCTCTGGGAGGCGGAGGCTGGAGTAGTCACAAAGGGCTTTGCCTGGAATACTGTCAGCCTCAGAATGAGCCTCATCTTGGCCACTCAGTGGGACTTCATGAAGCAATACTCCAAAGACAAGCAGCATTAACATAGCAACCTGCAGACCTAGAGACACAATTGAAAACACCAGCACTAATGGCGATGGCAATCACAGACGGCTGTGACTAAGAAAGCCTCTTTAGACAGGTGGGGGGGACACACAGATAATCCCAACACACGGACAGAGGTAGAAGGATGTCTGTGAGTTCAAAGCCAACCAGGATCATTTCACCTTTTAGGATATGAAGTTGGGAGGCTGTTGGGTGCAAATATATTTGAAATACATTGTATGCACGTGTGAAATTCACAAAACATAAATTTAAAATAGTACCTTGTTTAAAAATTTCAAATCCTTCTTTAGGGTTGGTCAGATAGCTCAGTCGCAGAGTGCTTGCCTCGCACGTACAAGGCCCTGGGTTCAACCCCCAGTTCCACACAGTAAATAAATAAATCCCCTAGAAACACTAAACGGCTAAGCACGATTACTATACGCTTTACTATGTCAACAAATCAAGTTTCTTTGTACACCAAATATTTATTGAGCACTTGCTAGCCGAGCGCTGCGCTAGGAGCGAAGTACACAAGTATGGGAAATATATCCCACACAACTTGGCACATTTCAGAGTAGATTATTCAGAGAGACCCCAGAACTAGAACTCTTCTGTGTACAGTGGTAAACAGTGGATACAGGCATAGGCCCCTCTACCTCACATCCCCTTGGGTGCCCAGGAAAAAGTACAACTGATGGCTGTGACCTTGCAGCGCCAACCCTCCCTGGCCTGGACCACCTCCCTTGCCACAGAAACCCAGGCACCTGTACATTCCACCATTAAAGCTGTTGACAAGGCTCAGCCACCCTGTGCCTCTCCGAGCCTCATGTATATTAGGCACACGCGAAAGTTTGTGGGTTCTCTCCAACCCCCGTTAACTGTCTACTGTCAGTTTCTCTCACAAACTAGCCATCATCAGATTTCAGAAGAAAAGAATTCATTTCAAATCTTCCTATACAGGTCTAAACAAAGCATTAACATTGTGAAAAGGGACAATGGTCAAGAATTTGCTGAATTTCTGCTCACCTACCCAGGACAGGCCCTATCTCTCAAGTCGGTTTCTCCTATATGTCCCTGACAAACTCACACCATTCCACCCCTTCTATTGGCAGCAAGGCTTCTTTTCCCCTGCATGTCTCTTCCAAGATAACTCATCACACCCTGGGCCAGTCCACAGTAAAGAGGACTTATATCCTTTACCTGGACATAAGGACAACGCAACATTTTAAAATCAGCTTTCACTGACTATTACACACAGGCCACTCTGTTGATCCTAGGAGCAAGGCCTTTGAGGGCTTGAGCAGTACCTAAAGAGGTCTTACTTTGGGAGCCACCCCTTGTAAATCCAAATGAAAATTTTTAGTTGGAACTTCGATCTAACAGCACATTAATAGCAATTTCATAAAATTTATAAGTGCATATTGACAGAAATAGTAACTCCTTAACAATGAAAATACATAACTCTAATCCTTGGAATCATCCAGAAGCTGCTTATGTTTTAGATAGCTTAAAACCCGAAAGAAATGAAGCACACTACCTTAAAAGCATGCCACAAGAGACCTTATTCAGCGCTGTTTTAACGGAAAGGAATGACTAAGAGAGAAAAATTAACCAGAAAGCCCTCAGTCAGAGACCCTGACTCAGGACGCTTGATCTTCCCTATTGAATGAATACCAAATCTCTCAAAGCAAAGTCACGGGCACTGCGCAGCCCTGGACACAGTAACTCACAGAGCGGAGACTAGTGATGAGCGTGAAGAAGGTTGCCCACTCCACACCGACATCACTCAGTACAGAACAACTGGATAATTAGCAGAGAAAACATTCCTAGCACCAAAGTCTGCTCGCAGTTCTCAGGGCAGTAATCCTGCTCTCTGATTCCCAGGGCTACCTGGGCCAGTGCCAACCTCAGGATCACAGTGAGCCACCCAGTCCTTGGACTCACCCTTTCACTTATAAAGTCACGGATATGACTACATCCTGAATTTCGGTTATCCAAATCCACCACCCAGCAATGAGTTCTAGAAGTTCCCTAAACTCAGCCATTCGCGGAGAAATGTAATCCTTGGCCATGAGGAAAATCTAAAGAGGCAGACCAGACAGTTGACTTTTGCAAGGGAGGGCACGTACCCACTTGCACACGCTGGGTGATGGCGGCTGTGGAGCATGAAAGTACAACCTCGGGGCCTGGCAGAAAGCAGAAAGTCTTCCTGGAGTTGAGTCCTCTCTCAAGACTTGGCAGGGATGGGTGGATGCCCAGTTCCAGCAAATGGAAGCTTTAGTAGGTGAGGCCACTGCGTCCTTTTGCACAAAACTGCCGAGCACGTTCCACTCGTGTATGGCTTGATTGGAATTCCACGGGCCTAAAAGGAGAGGCAGAAAAAGGTAAAACTCTGAACGTGAAAGAGGAGACCCGGGGTTACCACCAGAGACAACCACAGGAGTGGCTTTGGGCAAAGCTCAGCAACGGAGCCAGCCGTGGTCAGATCAAAAGTGCATCTGGTTCTCAAAGACTCTAGTCTCAAGGTAGGTGAGCAGATGGTGCTCAGACAGGGATTGGCTGCCTGAGGTGCCGAGGTGGTTATTCCCCCCCCCCCCCCACACACCCCCCCCCCCCCCCCCGGCCCGGGAAGGCAAACCCCTCCCGGGTGTGAACGGGTCAGCCTTCTGGGTCCCACAGCAGCCAGCCCCTAGCCTGGCTGCTTCGGAAACCGCGCGGTCCGGCAGGCAGGCGCTCGAATTCCAGGTGTGCAGGGGGGAAGATCTGGAGAGTGACTCCGCCCCAGCCTGGGGATCTGGGCAACAGGGCAGGCCTGGCCAGACGTCGCCCTTGCCCGCGGATACCAGCAGGCTCGGGGGGAAGGGGGGGGCCGAGCTGAAGCCCGCTGCTCTGGATCGAGGCCCCAGTATCTGCCTGAGGGCTCACGGAGGTGCAGGCGCCGGCGGGGAGCAGGCGAAACGGAGTGAGGCCCACCTGCAGCTGGGTTGTGGAGAAGCGGCGGCTGCTCCCAAGCAGTAAGGCGTCACCGCCGGCAGCCGTGCACCGGAAACCTCGGGCGCCCAAGCCGGGCCAGGGGGCGCCCGGGAGCAGCCGCGACACCTTGGCCTGGGGCTCCAGGGCGGACCCGAGTGACCCAGGCCACACCCGGCGGCCCGATTGTCTGGAGGGCTCTGTTGGCCACCCATCAGCTAAGTTACCAAGACTACGTAGGACCCGCAGCTTAAGACAAGCACCCGTCGAACTTGAATCCACCCCAGACGCGGGACACACGCATACATTCCCCCAGACTCGGGACACCCATCTCCATCTCTCCAAACGTAGGACACCCGCCTACATCTCCCCAAATGCGGGACATTTGGCTGCAAATCCGTGGCAGTTCCTCCGGGCAGGTCACTAGCACCCAAGAGCAGGCGCTGTTACATGTCACCTATGGCTAGAATTTTACTGCTTTTTCCAAGTCGTTGCCTTGATTTTCAAATGAAACTGAATGTAGCGGCACACTGTCTGGTGGGTAGTGAAGATTCTGGAGATTCCACGGAGTTTTACTTGTCCATGAACTGCCTAAGTTCAAAGGCTACTCTAATTTTTATGATTTTGCTATTTCATGATTATTTCTATTCTGGTTGCTTATTTATGTGGTCATTAACATTGATGGTTGCATGTGAATCTCCCATTCTTTTCTGTTCCTGGCACCTTGCAGTTCCAGCATGTCTTCTGGAACGTGGTAGAGGCAACCATTAAATCTGATTCAAGACTTGCCATGCCGGGTACTAGGACTTGAATTCAAAGCTACTAATTCACACTAGCAAGCATGATGACTTCACCTTGTGCATTTTACTGTAGCAGTGACTCTGGGAAATGTTCCTTTCAGCCTATTATTGTGTTAGAAAATGCAACTTTTCTGTTAGTAAATGCAAAACAAATGGGTGTAGTCATTTTAAACCAACTTTAAATGAGCTTCTTTTGAAGTGCAATTAATATACAATTAAAAACACACGACAGTAGGTGAAAGGTTTCTAAACAGATTAGTCGAAGATAAAGTAATCAAACTGGTAAGCAATCTACTTGGTGCTCTTTTAGATACCAACATACTGAGCAGTCATTGAGATTTGTAGGAAACAAGCTATGGGATTTTAAAGAGGAAACTGAGTTCTGTATGTACTGTTAACAGCCATTCTCAGTTTCCTCAAAATAAATCATAAAATCTTAATTTTTGACTCTCTTCAAACTGATATTAACATAAACTCAAATGCCACCACCAGACAACTGGAGAAGTGAGTGACTAAGCTGGCTGTGCGGTGTTGGCTTTCAGTGACAACAACAAACCCCCAAATAATAAAATTAGAAGATTTGGGTTTTTTTTAGCTTAGTTCAAGTGTTACTTCCTGGACCACAAACATGGCTCAGGGTACTTGCTGCATGATGGAGAGAATCAAATACAGCACTAAGCAAGCGCAACAAGGAATTCATGGTATGAATCACACCACATCATCACCACACATCACTGTGTGGAAAAGGAACCTATCCCTTACCTGAGAGGTACAGCACAAACACGAATGTACTACTTCACAGGTGAGAGAATATTTTAAATGTTTACTTAAAGGAAGGAATATTGGTATACAAGGACAAGTGATTTTGGAACTATGCAGACAGTTATATTATAAAACAAAATTCTTAAAAAAAAAAGCATTCCTTGACAGCTGAAATGGACCTAGATTTTTCCCAGCTGCTACATATAACACAAAGGAACTACCTCAAACAACTTCCAAACACAAATTGCACCTCCTTAGTAGGAATTACCTTCAAGACTGGAAGAAGTAAAACAAACAAACAAAAGAACTTAGACTGTTCTCAGCAAATGGGCGATCCGTGACAACATGGCACTGTGTGATGTGCCAAGCTGAAGTGGGTACAATGGTGGCTCTGACGCCGCATGTCCCACCACACAGGTCTATGGGCAAAGAAGCACCTCTCTGAATTATATTAAAATGAAATACATGAGCAGACTTTCAAATCCTTATTTAAATCAGATTCATGCTTATTTATATTACCTTTCATGCGGAATTAAAATAATATCAGCCTATATTTTAAGCCTTTTACAGAATATAGCTAATTTTTTAAAGTTTCAAACTGACCAAAAATAAAGAAAACTGGAACAGCTTTTTTTTTGTAATGAAAATGAGAAATGATTCCCAAGAACATATATGTATATAATATTAAACAAACAGTAGTAAAATAAGACATTTTCACTCATTCCTCTTTAATCTGGGGGCTTTCTTTTAAATACTGAAAATCATGTGCTTTTTATAAGCACTCAAAATTTTCAATTAGTTAAATAATTGATGAATGGGGTAAATACATTTACTTAACTATAAAAACTCAAATTCCTCTAAGTCAAAAATCATCCATACTTAGAATATTTTGAGTTGTAATACCATGTATTTGATACATGCTAAATGTTATAGAGTGCTCTCAAGAGAGGCCAAACAGCAGCAGTCTCTCCACCCGGACTCCCAGAGGTGCAAGTGTCTGATACCACCAAGTTGTCCATGCCTCTCTCACTCTTAATTGCTACAACCTTTCTTGTTTTTCAAGAATGGAAGCATATAATTGCAGACTATTTTATGCACTAAAATACTCTATTAACATGTGACTAGAGAATTTTCAATAATATACAAGCAAATAAGTTTAATGGAAAGCATCCAATATTTAATAAGTATTCGGCAACCTGCTGGATTATTATCAGGAAATTTATTCAGTACCCCTTATCAACTTGAAATGTATTGAAAGGTCTAAATATATACTAGTCAAAATAAAAGCAGTATATCAGCAATTAATTTGTAGGTGAAGCAGACAATATGCTAGATATAAATGGTTGTGTGTCATTTATAAATAAGTTGAAAACACTTTAAGATTTTAAGTGTAGCTGATTTTATTAGTAAGGACCAAAAAAAATATTTAATGTTGATATTGTAATATTTAGAGTTTAATATAGGAAATTTTAATTTCAAAATCTTTTCTCTGTCACATTTTTAAACTATTTCATATTTCCCAAACTACCAGTTTCAAATGCTTGCCAAGAATTTTGAAATTGAGGTTTATTGTCTCTTCTAACTGTACATTTTTTTATTGCTGTCAAGATTTGTCATCTTGCCCTTGAATATTAAAGGTTGATTTTCTTCTTCTTCTTCTTCTTGTTTGGTTTGGTTTCTTTGAGACATGGCCTTACTGTGTAGCCCAAGCTTTCCTCAAACTCACAGAGATCCACCTGCCTCTGCTTTCCAAGAGTTGGGATTCAAGGCTCATGCCACCACCACCCAGCTTAAACATTTTAAAACTGGAAAAAAGTTAAGAGGTGGCTTCCTACCACAATACAGAAACTTAGTTTTATGACCATGACTTTCACCAAAAGGACATTTATTCATGCTACAAACCATAGATATCCATCAATGACAGAAACACTGTGTGAAACAAAAGGAACAAAAATAAGGCCAATTTGAATCGAAACTCTCCATTCTGCAAGATGGCTACTCACAGTCGTGTTCTGAAGGACTGTTTACAATGTGACTAAAACTCCCAGGTTTTATTTGAAATCCTACCTTCTCGTTGCAGGGAAGACAATTTTTAGACCTCACTGAACGCCTGAAATAGTAGAAGCTACCAACCTCCAGTAAGATAGCCAACAGTGATGTTCATCCTTTCTTAAATGGAAGAACTTCCGGCTAACCTTTGCTATCTTCACGTTGGGGCCACTACAGAGGCTTACCTGAACACAAGCACTTCTAAACCATGACAGTAGACATGAGGTGTCAATAGCTCAGTGACTAGCAGAGGTGTGGCTGTGCTGGACAAAGGCCAGCGGGCTACTCTGAACAGCATACACTCTGTACTTATAAACTCTGCAATTTCCATGTATTTTTGAAATATTGTTGACCGTAGAAACACAAAAAGCAAAATATCAAAGAATGGCTATAATAAAAGCAGTTAAATAATTTTCAGTAATAAAATTAAAATATTTTACAGATCTAAAACACAACCCGATTAAGTTTTAAACAATGTTACATTTGGAAAAGGAAAAAACTATGTTCTAAAGCTATTCTATACTACTTTTTGTTATTTTTTTGCTTGTTGAAGCTTCAAGAAAAACATGTTGAACTACACAAAATTATAAAATCTCCAATTTAAATGTACTCCTATAACTTTTCGTTTTGCTATGGAGATTCTGTTTTAAAACATTCATTTTTAACGTCCCAAAATACAACTGTATAAAATTAAGCAAGTAGTTTTTAAAAAGTAAATTGACTAAATTTTAAGAGTAAAATTTGTCAATGATTTTATGTTAGATTCATTTCACAGTGTAGTAAAATACTTCAAAATTACCTGCTACTAATGCTGTCTATTAGAATTTACTGCAAGCAAAATTTCCCACTATCCTATTATGCCTAGTTAATATTAAATATTTAACTTTCTTTGGATAAGTACCAAAAAAGATCTACATTTGTTCCCACTCATTGTGGAAGCCACATGAAATAACTTTTCTAAACGGAAATATTTTTAAGCTTAAATCACTCTTTAAATTTTAGTCATGTCAGTGTGACTTCTGCTTGGAAAGTAGGATCTTTGTTTATAATTTAGTCAGGGTGATAACCTTCCACCTGAACGCTCCAAACACTTTCAAGAAATATGTTGAAGATTTCAGTGTGAAAGACTTCAAAGTTTCAATGTTAACATTACTCTGTAAGTCTCTCAATATGTACAAACACATATAAATTATAGATACAATTAATTATATATCTACAATAATATGAAAACAGCAACCTCCTTTCCTGGCTGTACTGCTATGTGGATAAGTAATAACTCTCTGTGCTGTTCAAGGCACCAAAAAAAAAAGCCTTAAAAAATTTTAAAGAATAGTTTCAAAAATAAAATTCAAATATTGCACAAAATAATTTAACTGTAAATATAACTACATACTATAAAAGAATTTTTTAAAAAGTTTTTTTACACTCTACAGCAAATTCCATTTTCTAACTCTATAAAAGAATTTATTGGAAGCCTGCGTTTATATATTAAGTGTTTACATTCAGTTTGATGGGTACGAATTTCACAAGTTAACTGAGCCTTTGTCTTAGAAGCTCATCTATTTGAGTTTTATACATATTTTTTACATCTTCAAGATCCAGGCGAAGTTCCTCTGCTTCTTCTGCCTTTTCTCCATACATCTGCAGAATAGTGTTATATCTTTGATCCAAATCCTAAAAAATATATTTATAATCTTTTAATGATTATACAAATATCTATAGTTGTTACAAGTCAATAGAAAAAAAATCACAAGATGAATGAAATATTATTTTTAAAAAGATTACACTTACCCTTTAATAAAATAAACTTATACCAAGTCTACCTAGAAATACAGAGCCAAAAAGAGGAACTTCTTTGGAAACCTTGATGGAGGACTGAGGAGATGGCTGTGGGTAAGAGCACTTGCTGAGCAAGCCTGAGGACCTAGCTTTTAACCCCCAACATTTACATAAAAAAAAAGTCATGTGGCCTGTAACCCCAAAATTAGAAGGAGGCTCACTGGAGCTGGTGGCCAGCCAGCCAGCCTCCCCACAAAACAGCGAGCTCCAGGCTCAATGAGAGTTCTTTCTGAAGGAATAACAGGGTGGGGAGTGATAAAGGGGGGCACCTACTCCTTCTTACGGCCTCGTAGCACACATCCCAGCACATGTGCACACATGTACATACACCACTCACACACACACAATCTATAATTCTCTCCAAATACGACTTAATCAGTCTCCTCCCCATTATGTACCCTTGATGAGATTTTTGTCTTCCTGACTAATTTAGTCAAGTATTGCTTGGCATTTATCCCACAAGACAAGTCTGCTGAACATTCACTTATGTCACAGTAATGTGATGAAGCAAATATTGAGTCAAATACTATAAAGCATGTAATGCACATGCTTGCTTTAATAAGTACTGGCCACAAAAAGTCTTGTTTTCTTTGATTAGTACTAAACATTTTGTGAAAACACTTTAGATATGTAACAATATAATAGAGATTCATCTTTACTCAACTACTTCCTCCTTTATTTTCAAAAAAATACTAAGCAGTACATATGCATTTTATGTAAACTAAAAACATGATATTTAACACTGGATTAAATATCTTAGATATATTTTTAAGTGAAGAATACTTACTCGTAGCTGAACTCGAAGCTTGGGTATCTCTTTCACTTTCTCCTCCAGTTCATCATTCTGATTTGTTAGTTTAACTAGCTCTTCAGACATTATGGATCGAGTTTTTTCTAGATTGCTAATTTCTAGCTGAGAAATATAACCATAAAATGATTTCAATAAAAACATATCTTGTTTAATGTGCTCACGAACGTAAAAATATTTACTGTGTCATTTTTGAAGAAAAAGATCTATCAACATATAGTGCTGAACAATGAGGGAAAGGGGCCCCAGCTCTCTTCAGAAGTTATTTATTTATAGAATTACTATTCAAGTAAGAAAGAAATTAGATACAATGATCTGTCTTAAAAAAATGCAACCATGTTTTTCTCTAATCTAAGAAAACAACACACATTTCCATTATTCTAAGTTCCTGGAAAAGCCAGAGGCATGAGAACACACTTGAGTGTTGTCCTCCCAGCTACAGTGTATCACTATACACTATATATTTAGGCTGGATCACTAAAGCTTTCATCCCCACCTGAGAAACTACACAAGGTTTTCGAGCACAGCACACTGGGCTACACCCATCAGTACACATCAACCCACTTTATAATTATTCAAATGGGAAAAGGAAAAGGCACTCATTTTGAGTGTGTAAGTTTAGCACTGAAAACTAAAAACTGCTCATTCTAACTCCATAAGCAATAATTCTTACAGCTCCCTCCTATTTGTGCGGTTTCTTCTATGTACAGGCCTCTTTCATTTTACTCATTCCTTGCAGTGAAGAAGTTAAGAGAGACTTTTCCTGTGGAATTTATGGGAAAAATAAAGCAAGCATGGTGGTTCAGCACTTCCTTTTTTCTTATTGAGAAAAGATGCTGGGAAGGAGTGGGCTCTCCCTGCTCTTAGATGTCTCTAGGTCCTCTCTGGGCAGCCCAATGGCACAAGGCACCCAGCATTTCCTAAGATAGAGCAGATAAATCTGCCTAATCCTGGCAGTCAGTCAGGAGGTTCACTTGGTTCTAGCTTATATCATTATCATATGTGATACACTTTGGTTTTCTAGGTCACCAAGTCATTTTATTTCCCAGTGTGCTCAGAATTGAAGTGGAAATTCTACTGCTCACTGGGACCCAGCATCTCACAGGCTTCTACAGACTTAATTTTTCCCAATACCTGTAAATGACTAATTTCTCCTTCCCTCAGCTTTAGTTGAGACTGCAGATTTTCAATGATGCTCGATCCTGCTCCCATCCTTACAGCTTCATAGAGATTGCTTCCACTGGCTGATGTAGACAGTGGCCCGAATGAATGGTCATGAGACTCATCCTATGCAGTCAAAGAACACAGACAAACATAATACGTTCTGTTAGTAAGTTCAAACGAAGACCCTGTTAATTCTGGATCTGAAATGTCTATGAGTGTCTGAAAAGCAGAAAATCATCTGTATTTCTTTACTTCAATTAGCACCAAATTCTGATGAGCCCCTCCCCAACAATGTCACGGTGACAGTCAGCCTGACACTGCAACTGCATGTTCCTGTACCATCACTCAAGGTAGAACTAAGCACGTAAGAACAAGCCCTTACCTGGGACAGGAAAGATGTCTGCAGCCCTGCCATATCTACTCCACTTACAGAGCTCGAGCGTGATATGGTGGGAGTACTAGAAACGGAAAACGGTTTGTGGTCCTTAGGGGGAAAAAAAATCTGTAAGATTGAGAAGCAAAAAACAAGGGAAGAAAATTTTCTAGAATTAACAAAAACAAAGGCATTAAATTTCTCCATAAAATGTTATAAATACAATCCCTCAAAACCAGAAGTCTTGGAAGTATAAAAAGCATTTAAAAATTAAGAGCTGAGCTGGTAAGATGGTTCAGCAGGTATGGAAGCTTGCTGCCAAGCCTGACCTGAGTTCAATCCTAGAACTCATATGGTTAAAAAGAGGGAAACAACTCTAGCATGTTATCTTCTGATCTCCATGCAAACATCATGGGAGGCAGGCAGGTACGCACACGCGCGCACACACACACACACACACACACACACACACACAAAATTATTCAAAAACTCAAAATAAAATACACTTTTAATTAAAATTA